ATAACTGTAAACGTTCGATATAAATTTAAAGGTATTGATTCGGCTTTACACGAAAGTTAATAATTTTTATAAGAAGATAAATGATTTAGCATTATTTTGAATTTCATGTTAATGTTATATACCATTTATTACCTTAAAATTCATATATAGTTAATTCATTCAATAAGTTATTGTTAAAATAACATGGAGAAAGATGCGGATTTTGAAGTTTTAAGATATCTTGTTATATGTTTTCAATAAAAAAATAGTAAAGCATAAAATTTGCAGATGTGTATGAAGTTCTTAGTATTTGTTCTGGAGTTATAACAGTAACAACTTGAAGATGTCGGAAATGTTGCGTGGATGAACTCGTTCAATAAGATCATTTACCGTACGCACCACACGTTGCTACTCGCATGAGTGCAGAACACGAGTACTGCTCGCGTGTTGCACTCATACCCTGCAATGAATTCTTTTGAGTTTGTGTTGTTACTTTCGTGTTGCAAAATATTTGCCATAATAATTCTATTTAGCATGCAAACGAGTTTAGTAATAAAATAGGTGATTCAATCATCTAAGAATTTCTGTCTCAGAGATCTGGATCCTTAGACTTTAATAAAGTGATACCATTGCAATCTGGATTTGTAGAGTAACCTATTTCCATGTATAGTAGAGCAACAGTCAATTTTTTTTAGTTGAAAAGTACTAACAGATTACTTTAACAGCATGCAACATGAATTACAAATATTTGTAATGGATTTATAATCATTAACATTCATTCATTTTATATTGTATTGAATTTGTAGAGTACTTCAGGAATATTGTAAAAAACGAGTAAGAAAAACTAAATTATTGAAAATTTAAATGCCCATTCGTAATTAATTCAAAACAATTTATTTATTTGTAACAATTTCAAGAGGATTAGCGCCTAATTTATGAAGTTGGCATCATATTGTACTTGAAGATATATTAATGACACGCAAATTCTGAATAAAAATTGCAAATTATTTAATTGTAAATTGTAAATATTTAATAAAAATAACTGAATTTTGCTTCTTGTAATGTCTCAAGGACAGTGTCCATTCATGACCACCCGAATTTTATCTCGAATCTCCCAAAGCCGTAGGGATGACGCTTCTCGGCCGTCACGGATATCTTATGATACTGCATTTTTAAAATAGCTACAGCTTAGAATCTCATGCTACGATGCTTAAGATCTCGCTCCACTTAAAAAAAATGTTTTATTTATTATTAGTTGATATAAGGAAAGGATTTTCTTGTATGGTACATCTTTGTATCACGTGTAAATTCATTACGTTACGAACTGTTGATATGCAATGATGCTTTGCTTTGAATGCAGATTATTATGGGATTATTAAAATTCAACTATTATTAATAAAGATCTAAATGTTCTTGCAAATAACATTTTCAAGCATCTTCAGACAAAGTAAGAATGAGCTGAATGTATAAGGCAGTTTTGGATATAACTTTATAAATTCGTACACGGGAAGTTTGTTTTCAAATTATTATTAGTATAAATAATTCAGAAGATTCCCAAGATATTTTCATTAATAAGCATTCACTGAATACATAAATTACACAAGGATTTTAGCACGTTTAATAGGTAGACAATAGGATGAGTCAATAAGAAACATCATGCAACATGTGTGTGTAATAATAGCATATATACTTGCAACTAGTTTTTATCGTCTAATTGTTTTCCCGTTTGTTTTGTAACATCAAAAATTCTATTGGGCATAAAGAAAATATATAGATATATATTGCTTAATTGACTTTTGGACCATCTTATTAAACACTAAGGAATAAAAAATTCAAAATGTGTTTTTATAAAATAATAAAACAGCAGAATTATGCATTATTTTTTTCGAAGTTTAATTCTTAAATCTTAATTTATATTTAATACATTTGATGTTTTTCTATTAAATTGCTTGGTAATTGCTTTTTATGAATCTAAATTGTAATATGCAATATCTAATGATTTAACGAATTAAATTTTGATTATTCAGCATTAATTACCAAATAAGAGATCGAATTTTTAATAATATTTCAGAAGTATTTTAATGGCTTGTCTTCATGGAATATTTTAAATAATAATTTTTCATAGCTTTTGTAATATTTCCCTTTGTTTTTTAAAGTTGTAAAACATTGCTACAATAAATATTTTATCACTAAAAACCATTAAAATCTTGCGAAAAGCGTAATGCTCTATTTCATGAAGTGCTCCAACTTTTGCAATCAGTGTGGGATTTCAGTGATAATAAGGAGGATTTACAACTTTAATTATTTTAAATATAATTATTTATTTATAATTAATATAATTTACGATTTTTTTATAGTTATGAATATAATAAAAAAAATTTTTTATTCGTTTATATGGATTGCAAGTAGCTGTCACTGTGATTCATACGCAAAGAGGACCAGTTATTCATAGATTTAGTGCGAATATAAGCAAAATTAAGTGAAAGTTTCTGAATTAAATAATTGATAATGCTAATTTAAGTTATCTTAAAAATAATATTTGCTTAAAAACATAGTCTAATTGTATTTGCAAAGCATTATTTACTTTCATAAAGATGAAAACATTTATCTAAAGCTCTTAAACTGTGATAAGATAAACGTAAATAAACATTCTGTATACATTTCTTATCCATTTAGTTAAATATTTATTTATTTTAAAATCAAATTAAATCTAAAAACGATTGATGCTGCGATTTTTTTTAAAAATAAAATTCAATCATAACGGTTTTCTCACCATCAATTCCACGATAACTTTTTTAAAAATGATTATAATGTGATAATTTAATGCTATTTAAATTAAATTAAATATCGTATAACGAATTTTATACATTTAACATATTTAAAATGAGTTAACTTAACGTTATAACCATGAAATTAATGTAATTTTCCATATTAAAACTTTGCAACATACGTTCTATAAAGAACGATTTTCGCATATTTACCGTTAAAAAAAGTGAAAATAAATGTTTTTAATATAAAAAAAATTACTTTATTAATAAAATATTTTCATAAATTGCCCGTTTAAAAGCACAATTAATGAATTTTTTCCATATTAAATCAAATTGTGCAATCTACAAAACATTATTATAATGATGATTTGTTAATTAAGAACATTTGTTTATAATTTTTTTTTTCTAATAAAATTAAAAACAATAGGATAATTTCTATACAAAATGTAAGAAAAATATTAAATATGAGTTTTTCCATAAAAAATAATTTTAAAATGTTAAAATTAAGACTTTTTTTGCTATTGAAAAGTGAGGAAAATAGCATATACCTTAATTATTTGTATTAATAATTCTTAGTAAAATTTTAAAAGCCAACTGAAATTATCTTTTATTTTATAATTAGTCTATGCTTTTGTATTATTTCTTTAAAAAATATATATAAAATAAAAAGGGAAATAAGTAGGCTAATAATAAAAAATTTCTTAGTAGTTGCTTAACAGACTGGAACCACTCACTGCACTAATGTTCAGTTTTATTTACATGTGAGATCCATTTGTAATTTTATTTCTGTGACCTTAAAAAACATATTTTCCCCCTTCTTTATTTAAACAAATTATTCTACTGTATAATACTTCCTTTAAAAAATTCTTTTCGATTTCTAAAGCATTTGCGAAATGTTTTAAACGAAACTGCACGTTTTTTATTTAAATATATTTAAAATATAAGGCCAAATAATCTATGTTTTGTAGTAACACAATTATAGTTCTATTTTCAGCTGATTTCCTTTTTATATTCGTGTAAATTGTAAAGGATTTCTATGGAATTCCGTTTGATCTTCTATGTCGCTTTCGTGCGTGTTATTCGCATTTTTAGTTATAAAAATTTGAATTTGGGCTTCTAAATGTGTAGTTTTTAAGTACTTTTTAGGCATATAAATAAGAGAATTGCATTATAAAGCAGCAGTAAGGATAATATGTAGTACTACAATTGAATGGATACTATCTTTTTAAAAGTAATTTTAGGATTTTTTATATCGTATTACACGATTAAAATTTTATATTATGATAGAAATTAAAGTTTCCTACAAGATCCTGTTAAGATTAGGTCGATCCTTTCATTTTGCGGTCTTTGCAACACGCAGTGCCTTCAGAGGAACTAGTGAATCCTACGAAAAAATCCTGTGTTTATATAATTATCCTTTATATGACGATTTTCACGCATATTTAATCATAAAAGAATCCTTGAGAAATGCATACTTTTTTAAAAAAAATAAATATACATCCGAAATAAGGAAAGTTTCCATTTCGAATATTGCATATACATAAAAAATATATTGCGAAATTAAGAAATGTGTTTGTAGAACAATTTTTATAGATTACGCATTTAAAAATATCCAAGAAATTAATCCAAAAGGAATTTTTAAATTGCCTAAGACTTAAAAAAGCGCGCATTTCATTGACATTGCTTATGTTACAATTAAGTTATAACGCGTTTAACATATCTGAACCGTAAATATATGGTTGTAGCATAAGCGGAATATCGCATACGAAGCGTGTAATTAAACAGAGCGGCATTTTCCAAGTTGTTATAATAATAATAACAATCACCGAATGCCATTGTGTAATCACGAACAAAAAAATTCGCATACTCATTAATGGAGTTACATAGAGCATTGGAGTATGCTGCAATTTTTTTTCTCGTAATTTTTATAAATTTATCTTGTATATATTTAAATTTTTTTAAAAGCGTAATTAAAATTTAATTAAAAATAAATCCGCGCAGCCGACGATACCCTCATCATTAGCGAACTCTAATTTACATAAATGTTTTAATTATTATAAAAAAAAAGAACATATAAATGATTTATTAATATTAAATAAAATTAAAAATATAAAAGTAAATAGTAATTTCGCTTTAACGCAGTTAAAATTTTTAATTAGTGAAGCAGACGATACCTTATTAACATTATGCTTTAATTAAACATTTTTTTTTTTTTTTTTAAATATGTCAATGACGTCAAACCCGTAAATTCAGCAGGTGGCGTTGTATTCGCACCGTTTCCTAAGGAAGAGGGAAGTCGGAGTTGTGCTGATAAATCGCTTATACAGAACTTATCAAACTGATAATTACAACGATGGTGAGTAGACATCCGCACGATTATCTGTCTCGTTGTTTTATCGCGTTATATTTACTCAACAGAGATTATTAAAGGCAATTTAGCGTAAATTCCATTTTGTCGTCTGCTTCTCCCTATGTTTATGTATTGCAGTTAATATGGGAAATTCCCTTCTTAATTATTCTTTGTTTACGTATTAAATGTCCTTTACGTCACGCGTAATGTCGATATTAAGATTAAAAAAAAAAAAGTAAATAAAATCATAAAATCAACAAGTGTAAAGGTCACTTGCTGCTAATGTGCACAATCTATTGTCATTTAACGTCTCACTCATTAGCTAGTGGATAATCAATGGAGTGTTGAATTCCTTTAGAAATTCAAGGAGGATGTTTAAATTCTTTTTTTTTTTAAATAAAGAATTATTGTTAAATAACAATTAAACTCCTCAGAAATTTTTATTGTTATACTGTGTATTATAATATATATATATATTTATGTTAAATGTGTGTATATTGTGTTATAATATAATATTGGTGGTGCATTGGTTTTGTGGGTCCCGGGCCTCGAACACAGTGTCGATGTTTTTTGCCGGGGAAATATTTTCTTATAAAAGATTTTTCCCGTAGGGACTGAATTATATCTGTGGTTTTCTAGAAATTTTCACTCTTCTTCTCCTTTTCGTTCCAGTTTTCCCGAGTTTTGGTAATCCCCTCCCCTTTTCGAATGTCCGACGAAACTCCAGCCCTTAAAACCTTTATCGCTTTGTGAATGACGGATACCATAAGTAGAAATGAAACAGAAAAGAAATTTTAAAATAAATGTAGTAAAATACATAAACTATATAAAATTTAATGAAACAAACGGATGTCTGCCAAAGCGTGACTCCTTCCCCCTTTGACTTGTCGTAACCCCCTCCCTTCCTGGTGTGTACGTCATTTATGGACAGCACCTAGAATAATGCACTGTAGTATATGTAAATGCAAAGTTAAGTTTTTTTTATTATAATTTTGTTAATATAAATGCATATATATGTAAAATTTATGTAGTATCAGTATAAATATTTAGCAAAGTTTCTCCTTTTCCTGCTTTTAAGTCACCATAATCAAAAAATATATCTGTAATAAACATTTATATATATATATATATATATATATATATATATAAATGTACATGTGTGTCCCTATATTTCACTTTTCCGCCAAAACTACACATCGCACGTGAATGGTGTTTGTATGTGGTAGTAGCCCCAAGTTTCCATTCGTGCACTTTGGGGTTGCGTCTCGATAGCTATAAGGGTGCGAGAGATATGGGGTTGAAAGTAGTTGAAAGTGGTTTTCTATTTCGAATGTTTTGTTCGAATTTGTTCGAATTTGTTCGAATATTGTTCGAATTAAATTCGAACAATATTCAAATTTAAAATTCAAAATTAAACAAAATTCGAACAATATTGTTCGAATTAAATTCGAACAATATTCGAATTTGAATTCGAACAAAAAATTCGAATAAAGGTTCGATTATAGAACGATTGTAAACGTTCCAGAAACGTTGAAAATAGTTCGTTTGACTGGACGTNCCTTAATTTGGTATTATTAAAACTGCACAAACCAGACAATCCAGGGAGTAGTCGTATAAACATGCTTTCCTTTAAGCAAAAGCAATTTTTAAATCTTGCTATAAAAAATTTGCCCCCACACATTTCTGATGCCTTTCTAATGATGATCCCTGGACATGCCATAGTAGTAAAATTTTATTTGTATATAAATGTTCCTGATGATGACTGTTTAAAAATATGTTTTGAATTGTGTTTTATTACGTATTTAAAAATAAACTCAATGTTGTTGTCATGCAAATGTTTTGAATATAATAAACAATTGTTTTTTAAGTTATTGATAAAAGATAAAGTTTGATATGTAATTATTATAAAAAAAGAGATTTTATCTTGGTTGAAAATGTTTTATTATATTACAGGGAAAATAAGATGAGTAATACTGTAAATTGATTTTTAGTCGAGAAGAAATTAATTATGTTGTACTTGAAAACATACAATTACTGATAGCCTTGATATAATATATAAAAGTTGTGTAGAATTAGGATAAATAAAAATAAATACAAATGAATCTGCTTTTATATTAATATGTATATGAGATAGAAAATAAATTTATAGCAGTTAAAGCAATAAATTTATTTTAACATTAATAAAAAATTTATACCGTATATTGAATATTTAATGTCTTATCAGTTTGAAGTAGAAAATGTAATTTATTAATTCAATTACTTAAAAATTTTTATCGTATTTGAAATTTTAAATTTACAGGAAAAGGAAAAATAAGCAAAATTTATGTTGTTATTGAAACGATATTTATAATTGAGTAAAAACAGATTGAAATTTTACAAATATAACTGTTTTCAGTTGCAGAAATTTATCCTTCCTCTATTATTATTTAACTATTGAATTTTATGAATAAAACCTGTTCCTCATACTATATGCTGGTGTTTTACAGAAGGGGAAGTACATGTACTGTACGGTATAATAAACTTTTTCGTTGCTGAATTTAAACATTTATTTAATTACAAAGTTTAAATTTTATTAATTAATTATTTCATTTAATGTAATTTATTTCTTACTATTTAAATTTCATATAGGATATTTTATGTATTTTCAAGAAATAAAATTTTTTTCTATATTTTATTACTATAAACCATTAAACTTTCTAAATATTGTTTTTGTAAATTAGTCAATTAAGTAGTATATGTAATATTTAATGTAAAATTTAATGTCATACAATTGTAGTAATATAGTTATAATGGGAATATTATATAATTAATACAATAAAAAATATAGCCTTATAATCTAAAAAATTAACATTTCAGAAATAAAAGATTTAATTTTACATGTCAATCAGAAATATGAAAGATGATATACTGCTTTTTTTGATATAAAGTGGAATTATAAAAATTTGTTGAGTAATTACTAACTTATTTTATTACTGATTTGCATAAATGCATTGAACTATAGTAGATCCTCAATTTAATGGATCTGGATTTAAAGGACAAAAAATTTTTGTTCTAAAGGAAAATTTATAACTTTCTTTTTATATTTGTGGATGGGCATACAGAAAAGTTGAGTTAATGAGTATAAATTACTCCACATATACTATAATAATAATGTATTTATATACAGTGGTACCTCAGGATACGAAATTAATCCGTTCCGAAACTGAGATCGTATCATGAAAATGTCGTAAGGTGGATCATCTTTTCCCATACGATTACATGTAAAACCAAATAATTCGTTCCAATGCGAAAAACATACTCAAATTAAAGCCAAGTAATACATTTAAAAATATAACTGTAGTAAGAAAAACAAATGAAAAATGTGAACTAATGTAATGTCGTATGGTGAGTTTTTGTTCATATCGTGGAGCAAAAATATGTTCAAATTTCATGTCGTATCCTGAAAATTTTGTATGCTGGGGCGTTCGTAACCTGAGGTACCACTGTATACACATTATAATATCATTATTTCAAAATCCTGCACATTGTAAGTTCACTATTAATAAATCTTTATTAATAACATGTATTTGATTTAATTTTGGCTTTGGCAATGGCAGACTCCCCTTCCCTAATTTGTTCATTAAATCAATGATCTGTTGTGTACAGTAATACTCCGAACTTACGCGATAGGTGGGACCGAGCGATAACCGCGTAAGTCGGGGTATAATTTCGCAATTCGTGTGAAATCCAAATTGGATGTATGTAAGCTAATAAATGTTCTCGTTAATCTTATCTCGCCTTTTGATTCGTTCACGGTTACAAGAAATCACCATGTAGAGTCTCTCAAGGCGCCGTAGATATAACAAACACAGAAATAAATAACACAACATAAATTGTAGCTATGCGTCGATTCTGCGTGACACGTACGAACACGTAAGCCGAACAATAGTGTGGGAGGAGTGAGTAACCGAGAGTAGCATGGCGCTCAAACAAAAGATGAATCGATGAGATTTGAAAATCTTGTAACTCCGGGTTCGCGTAAGTTGGGGTAGTGTAAGTCGAGGTATTACTGTACATATATTTTTATTTATAAATTTTGAATTTACATATTTGATAACTATTATACAGTCGACCCCCCTATAAGATATAGATACGTTCCAATTTATTAGGAATCCGATTTTTTACAAGTCGTTCCAATCACAGCCTGACACGTGTCAAGATTACGGACTACGGCTGATTGAAAGGTTTTCTTCCATAAAATTAATCGATTCTACACTAATCCGACTCAACATTTCCAAAATACGTATATTTTTTCGTAGTTTTATAGGAATCGTAATTATAGGAGGGTCGACTGTATTGATTATTTGTAATAAAAAAATTATTTGGAAATGTGTGTTTTGACAGAACTACAAGTATAAAGTATGAACTTATCACTATTAAATTAGTTTGAATTTTATAAATCAGAAAACTTAAGAAAATTTAAATCTATTTAATTGCTTTTTATGTAAATAAAAATTAATATACAGATTTATTTAGTTCCTTTTTATAACTTGTGTTTATTAATTAACAATAATTTAAAGGAGGATATAATTCATATGAATAAAATAAAACAAATTGTAGTAAGAAAGTGAGATATATTTTGGATATTTAGAGAATATAGTTTACACACACACACACACACACACACAAAACAAATAAATACACAAACACAAAATTTATTTTAAAAAAGTAAGTGTTATGAAAAAAAATTACTTTTTAATAAGGATGTTATTTAGCAGATTTTATTAGCTTTAAATGTATAAAATTTATTGCACTTATTTCAAAGATTTTTATTGTCCAGAAGTAAAAAGTTTGTTAGCTTAAATTACAAAATGTTGATTTGCTGATGGCAGGTAGTAAATAAACTGACAATAGGGCTTGACCTACCACAAGTATTTTTTTTTTTTCCTCTCACTTGAAATGATGTTGACTTTCCTCCAAGCCATTTTATTTAATGTTTTATTTAATTTATTGCTTGTAGAATTATA